CAGTGTATTTAAGTTTATAGGGTTAGGATCTATATTTAATTTTAGAACTGATCTCAATTGTTTTCTCAATGTGTCTACATTTGTTGAAGTATCTACTTTTACACCCCTAACAGTCAATTCATAAGTTAGTTCAGTTTCTAATAATAAATCCACATGAGACCCCATTGTTCTTCTTAATTAAAATAATCTTGCTACTGTAAATAATTATCCTTCTTTACATATAAAAACAAATTTATATTCTACATTTCTTCTCAAAATAGTTTGTATTTATTTAGCAGAGTGGCGCATTTATTGTACCGCTTGTTTCTACTTGCAGTACAACTTAAATTGACCTTGACTCTGGGGGGACACTTTTCACTAAAACAAACAAAAACACTTGTACTTCGCACACATTTGACACTTACTGATTGAGACAAAACTTCCACTTCACTATACAATACACTAATTTCACTTCACACTTCTTTTGTGCGCACATCACTTGATTTACCCGTGGAAATGCAAGGTATTTTCAGGTTTTGCAGAATGTTTACAAGCTCGTAAATTTTCGTAGTATTTTTGTAGATTTATAGACGTTTTCAAGCTCCAAACAGTATGTTGACATTGAAGTAAATGTTGTGTTAATTCTTGAGATCTGAAACAAATGAGTAACAAAGGATCAATTTCTTTTATTGAAACAAGTTCAGTTGAGTAATAAATAGTATAATTTGAGTTATTTTATATTAAGAATAAACAATTCCAAATGCCAATAAATTGTTTGTTTGTTTTTATTATTGCAAGAATATTAAGTTTTAGTTTTGGATGTAAAAAAAAAAAAAAATACAGGAAAGCAAACAATAAATTGAAAGATAATATCATTTTTAATTTGAATAGTAAATGAAAATAAATCGAAATCCATGGAGAAATGATTGATGTTTAGTAAATGTTTGGGAAAAAGTATTAATGTACATTGTAAACTGTTTTAGAAGCTATACTTATCTGATACCGTGTAGAGCTGTGCATTGGAGCTGTATGCAGATTTGTCCTGTCGTAGCTGAGGCACCAAACAATCCCCAACTTGAAGTTGTTATCTACACTCCTGGTCAAGAAACGTCCTCGGCCGACACTGATAAGCAGAGGAATCCCAACGTTGCCAGCTTTATTGCGGTATTGCCAAATTGAACGTAGTGAGTTAAAATCTCATGAACTCTTAAGCTCCAAAATTTACATTTTAAAATTTTATATGATTTTATTTTATTTTAATCGTCGTTGTATTATAAAGAATGAAGATTGTTATATTTTTACCTTTAAAATTGTTCTAACAAAATGTCTTAAATTTTTATTAGTTAACTAACAGTTTTAGGGGGGGAGAATTGTACCATATTGTACAATATTTCAATATATTGCAAGTCGAGAGTAGCAAAACATGTAATGGCAAGGCAAAATGGCTTCAGCCAATCAGATTTCATCTTTGGTAGAATGTTCTGGAAGCTGGTCTTCCTCGTATATAAGCCCGGTGACCACGTGTCTCGGTCTTAGTTCGTTCTTGTTGCATCTGCTATTAAGTAAAATCTCTCAGTTGTGCCTTTTTATGTAGTGTGTTTGGTTAAACCCCAATTGGGGTTTTATTATTACAGTATACTTCTATTTTGATACCAATTTATGTATTTGGAAATGAGGATTTAATAAACCGAAGTATTATTCTATTTGAATGAAGAAGTTTTTATTTGATGAATCCTGAAGAAGAGTATTTTATTTTATTTTATCAATGTAAATTTAAGTTGTACTGCAAGTAGAAACAAGCGGTACAGATTTAAGTTTTATAGGGTTGGATTCGCAAATTTTGGTGTTATCACCATCGTTTATTTGGGAAAATTTAGACATGATTGATCTCACCACTTTCAGAATGGTGTTCTATGTATAACCTGTAACACTGCGATCTTTCCAGCTCTTTTTTCTTCAAATAGGCTCCGCTAACTGCATAATTTTGGCAAACGACATTTCATTCTGCCGAACTAATGGTAGCTATTCCTGTGAATTGACTTTTTGGTAGATTTTATTTATAAAACATTGTTCTATTTAGTTTAAAACCAGATAGAGTCCAAACATCTCAAGAAATTAACACAATATCAGGTTCGTTTATTAGCTCGTTTGACGTTAAGTCCCATTTTTCAATTGAATTGAGGTCGATCAATACTAAATGTTCAAAAACTTGATTAAGTGAATCAGTGAATTACACGGATATAACGATTGTATACCCTATCAATCACACCACCTCCGATTGAAATGGAGTGTCACAGCCAGGCCTGACCTTGGGGCAATCCTTCCATAACACCCTTCAGGCAATAGAATGAGCAGATCTGTCTTGATCACGCTTGAGTGTTTGAAAACCATATTAAAATATTCTGATCCCTTAAATTATAAATTAATTATAAATTAAATTAAATAAATTATAAATTTATAAATTTTAAGTCATAACCAGCCGCGCCTGGTGTAGACCTCTCTGGTGTAAACGTGAAATTGAAGATTTTGATGTTGCTTACCCAAGTTATTTGCATGATCAACATAATGATCTTCCATTTTTACCTGAAAATAAAAAAAACTTCAAGGTTCAAAGGTATCGAAGCTACTAACCACATTGGAGAAAAGAAACGATACGAGTGTCATTACCTTAATTTGCAACAGTCACTAGAAAATGTATTAATTTTAAATAAGGTTCACAGAGTATTATGCTTTAACAAAATAATTAATGGTTAACAAAATACATGGAATTTAACACAGAGAAAAGAAAACTTTCTCAGGGTAACTTTAAAAAAGACTTCTATAAACTGTTGAACAATAGTATGTTTGGCAAATCTATGGAATATTTGCGAAAACGGTTTGATTTGGAACTTGTATGATAGGAAAACGATTAAATAAACTCATTTCAAAGCCCAATTTCAAGAATCGAATCGTACATGACAGTAATTATTGTGCAGTTGAATGCTATAAAGAGAAAAGGTATTATAACAAACCAATCTATATTGGTTGTACAGTACTAGAATTAAGTAAATATAAAATGTTTGATTTTCATTGCAATATTATGAAAAAGTATAATAAGGATAGAATATCAATCCTATACATTGACACAGACTCCTTTTTCTATTTGATAAAACGATGATTATCTTGACCCTGAATTAAATTCTCATCTTGTTTTATCAGACTACCCAAACGGTCATAAATGTGTTTCAAATAGTAACAACAAAAAAACTCTTGGTAAATTTAAAGATGAGACAGTTTGCATAGTTATTGTAGAATTTTGACCTAATCTGTTTAGTTTTATAACCGTAGATGATGATTATTTGGAAGGAAAGCTTAAGCTTTCATTATACAAAGCTAAATGTGTTATCAAACCTGTAATAAGAAATCAAATAAAATTTTCTGATAACCAAAAATGTCTGTTTGAAAATGTTACTTTGAGAAAAGAAATGAGAATGTTTAGATAAAAAAATCATCATGTTAAACTGTAATTGTCAATAAATCAGCTCTCAATTGTAATGATGATAAGAGGATTATATGCAACGATAGATTTAACACTTTAGCTAATGGCCATGGGGAATTACAGTATCCAGAACTATCAAATATTCTAAGGTAATATTATAAAATGAACCATCAATATCTTGAAAATTTCAAATTCTGTAGATCATGTAAAAAATGAAAATGATTAAACTGTGTTGTTTATTTGTATAACATGTTGACTTTTGGACTTTATTGTCATTAATAACTGTTAACATTTTTTCAAAGAATTTCTTTGTTTTTGTTAACAGTTTTGGAAATGCGTCCTCATTGTATGACTTGTCTGACAAATCAGATGAAGAAGAAGAAGAATTGTATTCTTTTTTAGATTTCTTAGAAATTTTCTGTTGGTTAGAGTATTTACGTTTGTAATTTTCATATGATTTAACAGAGGCTTTAGTGGATTTCTGGACAGTTTTTTTCAAACATTAAAATTTGGCGTATGAGGTTGTCAATTTGTTGAACGTGATAATATGAAAAACTTTTGTTCTTTAAGTTTTGTTTTTCTACTTCAGGCAACCAAATATTAGAGAAATCATTAAATTCAATTTCCAGATAGGAAAGGCTTTCAATATCTTTTTGTGACATATTAGGATTCTGTGCATGAACATGGTCAAAAAGTGAATATGTTACAAACACCCATTCAATTGGGTGCACACAGGATCTATGAGTATGTCTTCCCTATTTCTTAGTCTATCCATGACCCTCTCCCACTTAACTAAGCTATTCATTTCAATTATATGCAAATTCTCAAGAAGTTGTAAGACGGTGAAGTAAACAATACCGGGTACATTGGAGGCGTGACTAGTTGATGAACGAGGCTCAGATGTGACTGTGACTTCTTGACTCAGATCAACGATATCAGCAGGATCCATAACCGCAACAAAAAAAAACGATAGCTTTAGTACTAATGCAAGTAATAATAAAGCAGTGTTCCATAATATAAATACCATATTAGTACAGAAAAATCATTTATTAAAATCCGGTTTTTTAGATCTATAAATATTAACAAAAATCACAGTTAGATATCCATACGATAAATCCATAAATCCATACGATGTATTTTACATTCTCAAACAAATCAGTGTAAAGCGATTTAATAAACATACAATGTGTTTAAAAATCATTTACCAGTGTAATTAAGTAATTTAGCAACAGTCCGTTGTTTTTGATCTACAAATATTAACAACAGCAAAAATCACAGTTAAATAGTTAATCCATACGATGTATTTTACATTGTTGTCAAACAAATCAGTGTAAAGCGATTTAATAAACATATTATATATATATATATATATATATATATATATATTTATTTACAAATTTACGTATTTCTTCGGGTTAACCAGCAAGAATTGGAGGATAGAAGAAACCTATATTCATTGGCTATTGAAAATGTTCATAAATCAGTTTTGAAAATTAAAAAAATGCAATTGAAAATGTTTGGAATAGTGTTTAAAAATTACCTCTCATATGTACGGATGCGCCATGATCAAATTGAACGTCCCTTCGAGGCCACCCAACCTCTGACTGGGCTCGTCAGCAGTCAGCTCTTTAATGAACTGCCCTAGCAGAGGCGGTTGGACCTCTCCGGCGTCGTCCGGGTCCCCCTTCAGGTATGTTTAAATGGTTGTATGAATTTGAATATGACTCTTTACTTGATCTATTTTGTACAACATTTAAAGGGTTTCTCTGTTGTATGAATTTGAATATGACTCTTTACTTGATCTATTTTGAAAAAATTTTTCTCACATGTACAAAATTTAAAGGGTTTCTCTCCAGTATGTAATAATAAATGAACCTTCATTGTAGATCTAGTTAAAAAACCTTGCCCACATATTGGACGAGAAAGATTTCTGTGGTAACTTAATATTTTATCCATTTCACTGTTTCAACCTACAACAAAACATTTTGTTATAATTTAAATTATGGTTTAACAAAACAAATTACTAAATTTAATTTGTTTAGGGCTACAAAATAATATTTATGGTTGTTCTTTAAAGTGTACAACATTAGAGATATCAAAATAAGTATCTATTTATAAATAATTGTTTTTCTTTTTTGAATTTGTTTGGCTCTGCTACATGACCGATTTAATGATTAGGTCTTAAATTAAAGGTATACAAGCATAGATTCATCATTAAACATCGGCATATATTAATCTATAATCTCACTTGGTTTATGTATACAAAATCTACTGTCGATATAATTCATTTATAAGTTGAATTTAATTTCTCTTTTTCAAGTTTGTTTAGCTCTTTTCCCTACCAATTTTTATGTTTAAAGTCCCAAATTAAAAGTATGCACACAAAGATTTAATATCAAACATTGGCAAATGTTTACCTATCGTATTTCTTCAACCAAAAAATATAATGTGATTCATTTTTTAATATTTATTTCAATTTAAGATACATATTACCAGTTATAAGTTTATAATTCTATATATTTTGGTCTAAAAACTTTTAGTTAAATATTGGCTTTCATTTAAGCTATCAAGTTTTTAAATCAGATGATTTTCAAGTAAACACAAGGTAAACAACAAACATTAAAATCATTTTCTAAAGGGTTTCTCTAAAAAGTTTTTCTATGGTTACAAACCAATTGCTCCAGTATTTTTTATGTTTTTTTTATATTTTAGACTAAAAATAATTGTATAGGTTGATAAGTTAAGCTCAAGATAGTATATTATTAAATCAAAAATTGATAATTTCTTGGATATTATATTTAATTTATTGCTTTGAATTAGCACAGGTTCTAGTTATAGGTTAAAATATTAGAATTATACTTAATAACAATTGTTGGTATCCAAAGGGTTTAATAATATAAAATTAAATGATAATCTTTTGTTATATTCTAATATGAACTATATCTGTTTAGGCAAAAATCTTTAAAGGGAAATTCCTGGGGTTCTATTGTTTGGAATCCCCAATCGGTTAACCAGAGGAGAATATTTAACAATTTTATATATTTCCATAGTAACAATTAAGTTGAAAACAATAACAAATGATATCTAACCAGCTGACATTTAATATATTAATTTAATCCATGCCTTTGGCTCAAGCTACTTCTTCCATATAGCATATTTTGCATTCATTGCTTCCTGGATTATTGTTTTGTACATTTGTTCTTAATTTGTTATGATTAACCTCCTCTTGTTTTAATTTACATTCATTTGAAACTTCTTGTTTTAATTCTTTTGTTGAAGATTTTGCACATACATTACTAACAAAGACTTTTCCCTTGGTTGTTAGCAAAAAATAACATTTTGAAAAGTGTCTATCGTGTTCAAGCAAGGTTCATCTGATTCTTCATTCCAATTATTTAACCCCCCACCATAGTAATAGCATATAATGCCATCTTCTTTCCCTGTAAAAAAAAATCCGGCCTCGCTGAACATTTCAGGTGTAAATTTAGGTGTTTTTGGCCATTTTTGATAAGATTTAAGTCTTGAATCCATTAATTAAAACTGGGGAAAGGATGGAAATTTGATTTTATTTATTCGTAAGTTTTGTAGTGAAGGTATTAGTTGATTTTCAGAGATATCTTTTACGGGAACATTTCCACATGGCATGTTTTGAACAAATTTACATGATGCCATCTTTTGTGATCTAGTGTGGAATCATCTCCCTCAACCCAAGATCCAATTTCAACATCACAAAATGCACACTGAACAATGTCTTCTCTTTAAAAATAATATAATCCAGCAGTAGCCATTGAACTTGAATTTAAAAATGAAACTGGCCAATTGATAAAACTGTTAAAGTCTTTCTGTTTCATATCGAAATCTTAGAGTATCAGACATATTCAAATTTACCAATACTAACCAAAATCCAAAGAGTACAGCAAGGATAGCCCATGCAATACTGACTGGTCTCCTGTAGGATGTTGGTTCTATAACCCACATGACTACCCCCCCCCCCCACATGACATGGTGGGGGGTTTAAACTCCACTTGACTAAAGTGGGGGGGGGGGTTATAGCCTTACTTGTAGGTGGTGGGGATTATGTTTTGAAAAGGGAGGGGGCATCAATCTAAATATTCATTTTAAGACTGAATCAGTAAATATTTATTAATTTTAACTTTTAAATCAAACCTGTAGCCACAATTACTACATTAATAAAAAAATGCATAAGCTACGTATAATAAATTCTAATTATACCCCTTTAAAACTAAATAAATACATTATATTATATTAGATAATAAGTTCATTGTCAAATAAATTGTGTTTATTGAACATAATATTACAAAGATTTTTGTACTATATATTAAGATTTTTATATTTAAAATCTCGTCCAAGAAGTTGGTTATTTTCTTCAATATATACTGTTTTGAATTCTTGTAAATATTCCATTTCCTCTTCAGTTAGTTGGGGTTCTTGGTTTATTTGATTACAGTTAACAATTATTTGTTCTTGAAAAATGTTGTTTTGTATTTCCATTTTATCTAGGAATTTGGTCTCGTCTTCTGTCAGTTTGGGTGTTTCTATTTTTAACATTATTATTATTTTTATTTAGAGGGATTATTAATTATCAACCCTTGATAACTATTATTATATATATCCATTGTATCTAAGAATTCTATCTCTTCTTCTGTCAGTTTGGGTGTTTCTATTTTAAATGTATTGATTTCAGAGGCATTATTAATTATTTCTTCTTTATTATGCAACGGTTCATCAGGAGTTATAATTCTATGTTCTGGTTGATAATAACCTTCGTCTCCAATAGTTAATTTTAAATTTGTAACTTGTTTTAAATATTCTTCAGAGTTTTCTCCATGTTGTGATTCTGTCTGTAAAAATGTATCTTCTAATGGCTCATCAGGAGTTGCATCTACATTTTCTGGTTGATAATATCTTTCATCTCACATATTTAATTTTTCATTTATATCTTGTTTCAAATATTCCTCAGAGTTTTCTCCATGTTGTAATAGAAATTCCATTTTAGTACCATTAGATTTGTTTTTTTCTGAGATTCTTGTATATACTAAATTCTTTTCTCTTTTAGTTATGAACTAGGGCTTTGCTCAAAATCTTCTTCAAAGTTATTATATTGTTGTGGTGTAACATTGGCTTCATTAATATTAGTTTTACATACTTTATTCTTGTTCTTCTTAGTGTATTTTCTTGTTTTTGTTACTCTTTTCCAAACTAGTTGTTGTTCTTCTTTTGGAAAGATATGAATTAGGAATAAATTTAAATTTTATTTTATATAACAGAATTCAAGATCACATTCTTCCACCTTAATGTCCTCTCCGTTGTGAAGCATTGGTATAACAGTTAGTCTAAAATAAGAATACACATAATGTTACATAGGATTTAGTATACAGTAATTATTATTATTTCAAATTTGGAACATTTTACTAATAAAAATATCATAAGTAAAACATTTTTTATGTAGGAACAAAATCTCATCATGTTTTTTAAAAGAATATTGCTTATAAGGCAGTGTATTGATCTCATTATTACGGATGTAACGTGACTGCTTGACATTATTTTTTTTATTTATAGTGGTTGTATAACGTTTATCATATCATATCATTGTTACTGCTATATATTGTTTTATTTATAGTGAGTGGTTGTATGTTGTGTTTTGTAGATTTAAAAACCTTTATATTTTTCCTAATTTTAAAATTATTATTTAATCATTTTTTTATAATCATTGAAATTAATATATTTATACAACAGTTTTGGTAATAATTTTTTCTTTGCAAAGATACTCATTTTTTCCCTTTTTCTAAATAAAAATCAATCATAGTTTTATATATGTACAATAATAATACTGCTAATCTTGCAGATCTTCTTAGAAGGGGTGGATCTCCTATTCTTGCAGATCTTCTTAGAAGGGGTGGATCTGCTAATCTTGCAGATCTTCTTAGAAGGGGTGGATCTGCTAATCTTGCAGATCTTCTTAGAAGGGGTGGATCTGCTAATCTTGCAGATCTTCTTAGAAGGGGTGGATCTGCTAATCTTGCAGATCTTCTTAGAAGGGGTGGATCTGCTAATCTTGCAGATCTTCTTAGAAGGGGTGGATCTGCTAATCTTGCAGATCTTCTTAGAAGGGGCGGATCTGCTAATCTTGCAGATCTTCTTAGAAGGGGCGGATCTGCTAATCTTGCAGATCTTCTTAGAAGGGGCGGATCTGCTAATCTTGCAGATCTTCTTAGAAGGGGTGGATCTGCTATTCTTGCAGATCTTCTTAGAAGGGGTGGATCTGCTATTCTTGCAGATCTTCTTAGAAGGGGTGGATCTGCTAATCTTTCTGATCTTCTTTGAAGGGGTGGATCTGCTAATCTTGCAGATCTTCTTAGAAGGGGTGGATCTGCTAATCGTACAGATCTTCTTAGAAGGGGTGGATCTCCTATTCTTGCAGATCTTCTTAGAAGGGGTGGATCTGCTAATCTTGCAGATCTTCTTAGAAGGGGTGGATCTGCTAATCTTGCAGATCTTCTTAGAAGGGGTGGATCTGCTAATCTTGCAGATCTTCTTAGAAGGGGTGGATCTGCTATTCTTGCAGATCTTCATAGAAGGGGCGGATCTGCTATTCTTGCAGATCTTCTTAGAAGGGGTGGATCTGCTAATCTTGCAGATCTTCTTAGAAGGGGTGGATCTGCTAATCTTACAGATCTTCTTAGAAGGGGTGGATCTGCTATTCTTGCAGATCTTCTTAGAAGGGGTGGATCTGCTAATCTTGCGGATCTTCTAGGAGAGGGTGGATCTGCATTCAATTCACATGGTTTTTTTTCTTCTAGTTTGTAAATTGAATTAAAACACATATAAAAGTAAATACATTTATAGTTAGTAAAATAAAAAAAAACATGTTGCTACATATATGATATCTTTTAGTTTTAAAACATATTAATCCTGATTCAAACATTTATTTATCAGGTCAAGTTTGCGAACAAAACTATTTCAAAAATGCATAGATTGTAATGTTTCTTCTGTTTTTATAAAAATAAGTATATTTTTATTAATATTTTAACCAAACTATTCTCATAATAATACAACTTTAAAATATTGAGAACAGAACATATACCTCTTAACTTCTGTTGTTTGAACTGTTAAATTACAGTACCTTAACAATGCATTTTCTTTTTTTCTGCTAATCTTGCAGATCTTCTAAGTGAGGGTGGATCTGCTTTTAATTCAGATGTTTTTGTCTCTTCATCTGCTGTAACATAAACACAATAAGTTTGGAAAAAAATGTAATGTTACAAAATATAAATTTGAACAAACCAACTGTGAAATAAATTAATTTGGATTTCATATTTCCACACAGCTAGTCCAAACATATTAAATACCACACATATATTATAACAGAAAGTGTATTATTCCAAAAAATCTAATTGTTAAACTAAATGTTAATGTTTACAGGAAATAATTCAGAATCTCATCCTAAATATTATGAGAATTATTTTTTATGTAAATGGTATTAAGATAGATTGATTCAAACAAAATACAGACTAAACAATTTTATGTTTGTGACATAATAAAATTACAAGTATGTTGCTAGTAGCTTGTGTCAGTAGCGATACAAAAATTGCTGTCCTCGTGAAGTACACCGCGCCATATGTCCCCTATACTCACACTTGTGCCAGTAGCGATCCAAAAATTGCTGTCCTCGTGAAGTACACCGTGCCATATGTCCCCTATACTCACACTTGTGCCAGTAGTGACACAAAAATTACTGTTCGCACGATGCACACCACACCATATATCTCGATTTTACACCACGATATGTATCTACTATAGTAAGCATATGATTGTGACGTCATTACGTCACGTGACTTTGTGCCAGTAGCGATAGAGGTACCTCTGACATATGTCCCCTATAGTAGACATGTCATACATAGCATGCTAGGTATGTCATACCTAACAATGTTTGGTACCCTTTTGTGCCAATAACCGCATATTCTCACTACTAATCTACATTAAAGACAACAAACACAAAATTTTCACACAGCCAATTCACACGTATATGACAAGAAACCGATTCAACTTTGGATACACAATACCCAGACTAGGTTACAGAATAAATCTTTCTAATCCATTTTATATTGCACATTGTATCGAAATCTTCCAAACAATATCATTGAGGCAAAGAGTAGCAGTGCAGCCGTTTTCGAGAGAATGGTTAGAGAGGGGCTGTTACACGTCTGCCTCACTGCTACTGAAAATTTAATTCATTCTTCATACGTTTGAATTAAAATAAGACCGGATTGATTTTTGTTTTCAAATTGTTAGAAATATTATATTTTGAGAGCTCATTACATTAAATTTAATTTTCTTTAACTTAACAAGTGTTTAGAACTTATATTCTGATGGTTCTATGTTCTCCAGGACTAAGATATTTGATTTTATTTTAAATTTTAATAAATACGTTGTATTATTGTTAACTATAAAAGTTGTTTAATGTAAGTGTATACTATATTACTAACTCTATATAAAAGAGAAATGTCTTCCTGTCTGATCAGTGGTGTGGTTTTTAAGAAATGAACAGTCTGATGAGATATGTCACTTTTGGTCAGCATACTAGTAGATGTCATATAGAATAAACCTGGGTCAATCTTATACACTGTATCAGTAAGTTCAGGCTTATTATTGATCATTTTTTGAAGTAGAACTGCAGTCACTACACCTTCCATAGCCTGACTAATATACATTTTATAATGATCTAAGATTGCTGCTTATCCAAGTCCCGCACTTTCTATATCTGCTTTGGAAGAAGCATTACAGAATAGATCTAAGAGGCGTTTTTCATTATTCAAGAACCCATGGTACATCTTTAGATATAAGTCATTCACTTTTCGGTGTACTGTGCCTGATTAACTTAATTCCCCGATTAGAGCATCAGCAGCCATCATCTGACGCTTTTTACGCTTTTTCCTAGTCATCTCATTACTAGTGTTAGAAAAATTTGCTATCTCTGGTTGTGTGTCAAGATCCTCTTCATCTGTGTACTCATTCGGGAACTTTCAATTATTCTACCTCTGCTCGGTTATCATGCAGCCTACTTCCGTGTTTTTTTGTTTTTTTTTTTTTAATAGTGCAGTGAGGTTCATGTTCGGAGGTTTCGCCACTGGAAAATGACCCTTTATCATCCACGTTAGTATTATTGTTTTAGCCATAAGGTCGGCAGTGGCAAACACCGACCCGTCCATATATGTCCCAAACAGGATGAAGTTTGCAAAATCGTTAAATAATCACTTTTTGCAAATATTATTAATGCTTTGTATGTATTTTCCTTGTTTTAATTTCGGTTCAATGGCTAACAGCACGTCACGGAAACTTCTCTTCGTGAGCATGCTATTCGCACTCTTCACTCGTGAGCAACACCCTGGATATGTGTAGCGTACAGTCGACGCTAGCTCACCTGCAAGATGATATGTTCCATAGAAAATCATCTGGTCTGACATGGCGCTTCGGAACCAGAACTCAGTCACATCCCTTCTATTGTAGAATTTCCTTCTGCGTCAAGTGCTATACGCAGATTCTCTGATTGACAGGATGTTAAGACACTTTCGTTACCATGTTCCAGCTCAGATGCATGTAGTTGTTTGAACCACTTTTCTCTACTTCCCCTCAAATGTGTAGCTGTTTCAATCAAATTCTTCACTGCATACAAGTCGTTTCGTAGATCGTCTAGACCATATGCGGCAGGGATAATCGCATCGGGATTTGTCAATAATGTGTTAGCAAACACAGCACCCGGGATAGAGTTCTTGTTGATGAAGTTCCGCCGCATATCTATTGGAACTAGGCGGTCACTAAGACTCTCCACCGTCTGCCTCAAGTTTGTCAGATAAACGACTTCAGGTACGGGAATCAATCTCCGTCTATTATAAAATTGTTGGGCTGGGAAGAGTGGAACAAACTGGACATTATCATATTTAAATGATCACATGATGACGTATTAAATGATGACATACAACAACTGATGCACCTTTAAAAACAGTAAATATTAACTTTCATAATCAAAATGTAAAGAACTTATATGAACATGTATTTTTAATACCAGAGTTTTCAAATTATAGAAATTATATATAGTCATATGGTTCAACTGAAGTTATTGTTCAACATGTTTTAAAATCACTTTCAACAATCAGACACTTTGAAAATAAGACGGGGTGTGAAATAATTCAAGTGCCAGATGGTGAATATAATATATATTGTTAACAATAAATGACATATTTATATACATGGTCTAGTTGTATCTTTTATTTAATATTTCCCACATTTCATTATGGGTTTTATCAGTTGCTTCATTAAGTAGCCCATTGGCCCACATCAGCAGGAGACCGTGAGCGAGGGGATAAGGCTGTTTCTCCTTGTACTTGCGAAGACGATTACACACTTGTCAGTTCACTCTAACAACACGGTGGTCGAACCGTGGCTCAAGTGCAAAGGGGTAGGTATTTGCCATCACAAATACAGGTGTTCTATAAACTGGTTCGGGATTTCTGAATTTAATGTTAGCCAAAAATGGCTTACCTTGGAGTAAATTTAATACAGTCTCATCGTAGGACCGGTCGAAGTTACACTCGTCCCACTTTATAACCCTTCTGTTTAACCCTTCTGTTGTGGCAAGGTTAAATGTTTCATCATCAGGAAAGTACCTAACTACGTGATAATGCTTTTTTATCGTCACTGAGAAAGCTACTCAGCTTATCCAAAGAGAAAGAAAGCAAGCAGAAACTGTCAATAAATTGAACAGTCATGCCATCCATTTTCTTAATAAATCTTATTAAAGTATCTGTTGTGTGGAAAATGACTTTAATTTTTCCATTTTGTTTTCCTAGTTCTGGTATTATGAAATTGGCATCGTATTGGGACATAATATGGACGACTACATTTACAATCCTTTGATCTCTGTAAAACAGATTGCAGCGATTATGAGCAGCTCCATAAAATCTTCCTGAGATATGGTCGTGTGAGCGAACCTTTTTATTTAGATCGTCAAAACCCCCTCTTAAACATATATGTTATGTAGTGGCCAGATCGAACTCACGTTTATTTTTAACAGTAAGTTCAGGAACATCCGAGACAGCTTGCCGCTGAGTCAGTGGTGTCTCAGTGTATCATGTGTCTGGCCATGTCGCCTCTTTCTATAACATAAAAACACTACAAGCAGTAACATGGTTCAAGAACACAGAATTGCAATGACAAAAAACTTGATTCTATAATCATAGTTGACCCTAATACTGGAATCATCAGTTCTTAACTTAGTCAACAGCTTTGTAAAAATACTAATATCAAGAGTATCTTGTTTTCAGTCCATACTCGCAAAATATCATTCAGAAAACTTTAGAGTTTACCACCAAAAAAATGATTATACTACATGATTAACTTAACCTAGGTAACGTCATAATACAAGCGTTTGTTGTGTGTACTAAAGCCGCTCGCTGGCAAGGTCAACGCCTTGTAGAGCTGACTTCGGGCGTTTCGTCTTTCATCTGTACCCTATCTACATTGTGTGTTGTACTCATCTACCTAGACTCTTTATAACTCAATTCAAAAAGATTTAACTGCATCTACTTAATATAAATTAAAAATTTGTATCTCCATTTTTATTAGACCATTCGTAAAACATAACAATAATTATCCTAGACACTCAGCCTTTCATTAATATCTTACTTGTGTACAAACATTATTATATATCCCGTGTAGTAATAATTTTACGACATCTCTTTCCTCTAGGTAAAAGTTGTATATAAATACTTACTTATAGCTAGATTTATGCTTATAATAACCCATTAATCCAACCCATGTCCAACCCATTAATCTGTAAACATCTGACGTGTATTCACGTCAAGAGCTCTTAGTAACATTCCACTTTCTCCGCGCTGGTATGCCCTAGGTAAATGCACGATTAAAGTTATCAATGCATATAGCTAGACATAGCTACTTTCCTCCTAGGTAATATGTTAGATGTCAAATCTGTACAATTAGCTAGTTAATTTCTAATCTATATAGGTAATGTGTTAGGCTTGAAAACCTACACTATCAGCTAGAACAATACCACTCAAATATATTCGTTCTTATAGTATGCATTCATTTATATTTATACTTAAATCTATATAGATCCATGATTTTTCTCCTTTTTTACACACCTATATATTTATTATTTTCTTATTTACGTTAAAGCTCTCCTTATCGATTCACATTTTACTTAATTCGGTACAAATACTCACGGTTTGATATATTATCATACTTGGACTTTGATATTTAAATCTTTGTAATATTTAAAGTGTGAAAGTATAAATTAAATCCACGATTCGGTTACACTCGTATATAAGTTTAATACGAATTCAGTCACGCAACAATAAAATTATTAGCTAGTTAGTTCTACATGACCAATTCTGAGTTTAAAATGTAAAGATTTTATAACATGACAGTATACGTACATTACTACTTGGTAAAGATAGCACAGTCATTTAACTTACAAACTAGATTCATTCTACATTCATTGGCCGTAATTCACACACTCATTCACTACACTCTCTCCTTCCATTCACTCAATCTTTACTTCGTTAAACATAGATACCGTCAGCTATAGTAAATATGATCTATACCTATTTCGTTATCAAGCTATACCAATGGTCTATTAATGAATCTTAGTACAGGTACTTTTATTATCAATGCTAGGTAGACGTGTAGTACACACAGATGAATGATGGATCGATTTCATTCGGCCCCCTCCCCTGAGTCACCACAAGTACGACTCATTCTTCATTGGGGCCCGTAACGTAATACTCACTGACGAATTCCGCAACAATAGCCCCCAACGTACTGCTTGTATCTGACTCCCCATCACTGTCCTCGGAGCCCATAGGGGATTCTTCATCCGAATCATCCCTATACTCGAGGAATTCCGCAACAACAGCCCTAAACGTACGCATACTGCTAGTATCTGACTCCCCATCACTGTCCTCGGGGCCCATAGGGGATTCTTCATCCGAATCAACAACAGCCCTAAACGTACGCATACTGCTTGTATCTGACTCCCCATCACTGTCCTCGGGGCCCATAGGGGATTCTTCATCCGAATCAACAACAGCCCTAAACGTACGTATACTGCTTGTATCTGACTCCCCATCACTGTGTTCGAGACTGTTCGGCACCTCGTCTTGTGCCTCATCCTCTGTGCCGTGAGGAGAATTTCCTGCCTCCATTTTCTGCCTATATGTGTCAGTTCCTACCACTTCACTAGACATCTTGTTTTATAAGTACAGTAATATAAGATTCAAATTTTATACATATGCCCTTTAACCTTAATCTAACAGTAATACGCCTTGCTTATACGAAACAGACACACAATTATTATTCTACAGAAAGCATTTCCTACAATTCTTATCGCTTATAAAAAATCATTCAAGCTCACCAAAGTTCTTACTTAGTGACCACGGCAACGGCGACCAGGATGGTGACGATGTTGGATGGTGACGATGTTGCCAAAACGCCCCGTGATCATTGGACCCCTGCCTCGTCTCGCTGTTGGTAGATTCCAACTATCATGTAGCGGCGAACGTCTTCTATCTTCTCGCTTCTTTCTTCTATCTTCTATCTTCAAACAAGCGGGTCGACACAGATAAAAAATCAGTCTCTTGAGACGATAATGTCCGAACTATCCCGCCCGTACCGGTCACGAGAAAAGTCCAAGGGTCTACAGGAGTAATCGCTGCCACCACTACTCTAATTAAGGGAGAGTAGGCCCTAATAACACAACGGAGATAAAAAGAGATGATAAAATAATTACTCGGGATGATGAATAGTTTTGATGCTGAAAAAGTTTGAGAAATGATGTGTACCCCCGCGAAATGGGAGTTTGGGAAATGATGGGTGAACCGCGATTGTTGACACCCCACAACAACCCATCGATATATATCGACGCAACAACCCCACGATGGAACACCCCACAACAACCCATCGATATATATCGACGCAACAACCCCACGATGTTGACACCCCACAACAACCCATCGATATATATCGACGCAACAACCCCACGATGGAACACCCCACAACAACCCATCGATATATATCGACGCAACAACCCCACGATGTTGACACCCCACAACAACCCATCGATATATATCGACGCAACAACCCCACGATGGAACACCCCACAACAACCCATCGATACATATCGACGCAACAACCCCACGATGGAACACCCCACAACAACCCATCGATATATATCGACGCAACAACCCCACGATGGAACACCCCACAACAACCCATCGATATATATCGACGCAACAACCCCACGATGTTGACACCCCACAACAACCCATCGATATATATCGTCGCAACAACCCCACGATGTTACACCCCACAACAACCCATCGATATATATCGACGCAACAACCCCACGATGTTGACACCCCACAACAACCCATCGATATATATCGACGCAAAAACCCCACGATGTTGACACCCCACAACAACCCATCGATATATATCGACGCAACAACCCCACGATGTTGACACCCCACAACAACCCATCGATATATATCGACGCAACAACCCCACGATGGAACACCCCGTGATCTTACACTCAAGATGAGTGTGACGGCTTCAGTTAAACCTGCCACTTAACTCCCACTTTAGTTGTTCACATTCGGAAGTAAAAAATATCAATTCAAGTCAGCTGTAAATACTAATAAGAGGTACAAATTCTGCTCCCAAGATTCTAAAGTTTTATGATTATGAGAATAGTTTGATGAAAATATTTATGAAAATGTACTTATTTTCATGGAAACAAAAGGATCATTACAATGTAAATATACTTTTAATACGATTGGGTGAGCTACATGTGAAAATTGTACTTGTTATCAAGCGTGGCTACAAGAGCGAAGTTTTTGTTTAATAGTATATCAATCTTGAGGCATTAAGTTGTGCGCCTGCCTAGTGCCTAGCCAACTATCTGAAGACGTAAGTGTGACACAGATTTTCTATCTTGTATTGACGGCGTACTGAAATATATAAAAAAACCGTTGGTGCTATATAGACTGTACCAGTATAAAAGCAATTCTATATTAAAGAGTTGAATTTTTATTTTTACTTATCTCAGTTATTAGGAACACAATAAGTGTATTTACACTATGTTTGTGTGTAAAAAATAATGATGAACATGTTAAAATTTAAAACTAAACACAGTGTTATTTGGCAAAATGAATTTGAAGGCTTAGACAATTTGATTGGTGAATTGAATACAATCACTGAGTTTCTAGAAAAACTCATTTTAATATCTTTAAAGAAAAAAACACATGTGATATTTCACACATTGGTAATAGCAAACGAGTTGTTAAAACAAAGAATATGCCAATTTCAACAACTGAAGGACAATGTCATATCTCCGGTGCGTTTATTGTACCCCAAATGGGTTCTTATCGAGTGGTTAAGATATCTTACCATAAAAAAGAAAGTTTCCAAAGGATTGTGTGATGAAAACTGTTTAAGCACTTTCCATTCATCTACTATTGAAGGAAATCAAATTGATTATCTACAAGCTATGCCAGTTTCTTCCTGTAGTTTTGAAACTCATATGAATTGTGGACCAAGTGGACTACCCCCGACATGTTTGATGAAAAGAAAGACGTGGACTGACAGTTATGAGTTAAAATATATTTATCGATCAATCATAAGTACATTGGCCGACAACTTTACTCAGGATATATTACTGCTTGGCACAATCAAACGGCTTTCAGAACTTATCCTTTTGCGTTATAGCACTCAAATCGAATTCACCCCAGGCGTTACAAACTATCTGATAAAATCGAAAAGGCAGGAGTTTAGAGAATCTCTGAACCACATTGAATATAAAATCAAAGAATTATTGTCATCCCATTGTGAATCTTGAAGCTCATTTTTCGTCTCTAGTTTCCATTGAAACTGGTGGCAAGTGTCGACGAAATTTTGTTTCTATTATTTTAGAGTTAATTTCATGTTTTGTACGTTATTGTTTGGTTATACAACCAGAGGATGAGTTATCTTTTATGGTTAAGATTATTGGATTTAGGTCTCATTGATTCATGGACTGATTGTTTACTGTAAGTTTTTAATTATATTTCATAATAGCTTTTAATATGTTTAACCCCTATAAAAGATCTCAGCGTTAGTCTGTTTGTCTACTAACATTCCTAAAACTTTTAGAAATATGTATAATTCAACGGAAAATGTTTAATTGTATACATTTTTTGGCTTGTCAAAACCATTCATTAAAAATGATAGTCACGCACAAGACATGACATAAGGAATGCAACACAGTCTAGATTGATGTACTACGACACAAATGTAGTATGCAGTTAAACAATGCAATTCCTGGCTACGGTGTTTATTTATTAACAGCCATACCTATACACAGAAAACTGGTCTTATGAACTGCCAAGAGGAAGCGACAACAAAGACAAGGTTATAGAGTTAAATGTGACATTGCAGTTTCTAAGTGGGGGTAATGATTGTGCAATTTTGTGCAGTACTGCGTTACACAAGAAGCTCGTGTAAGGCAGGAGAGTATGGTGACCTAGTCCGAGCTAATTAACCTCTTCATAATACACTATAATACTCTACTTGAAAGATGTTTATTTTTATATTGTTTATAAATATTTTTTTTGTCTCGATAACAAAAAAACTTATTTACGTCACTTTTAAAACGTTTTAATCTCTGTTATTTCCGCTTTTCTGTACAGCAAGCATGGTTTTCTGTTCTCTGTTGTGTACTCTTCCGGACAGATCTTATAATGTTTTATCTAATATGAAAAAGGAAAACACTGGAAACTAAGTTTCACTGTTTTTAATAATTTAAACACCATTAAATAAGCAACTCTACCAAAAAATAGCAGCTCGCCAGCTCACAGATAAATGTTCAACTAGCCTACACTATGTCTTGGTTTAAAGAATTGTACTAAACAAATATTACATAATGTTGATATCATATGTTGATATAATGAATTCATATAATGACATATGTTGATATGTGTATAATATGAAGCAATTTTTAATTAGTTTTGCATAGGCTTATAACTTGGTATCAATTACATTAGTATTTTTAATAAGTATGTGTAGTGTTATAAAGAAGTTTAAAACAATCTTTTATTTTGTATATTGTGCTTTTATACAGTGCAGTTGAAACGTCCTGGAACGGTGTCATATATTTGTTACCATTATTAATAAAGTTATAAAACTCGGTTTGAAATTTGTCCATCTTCTTTTTAACAACTCGTTTGCTATTACCAATGAGTGAAATATCACATGTGCTTTCTCTATAGATATTAGTATGAGTTCTACTAGCAATTCTGTGACTGTATTTAATTCACCAATAAAATATCTTAAATTTTAAATTTATCATTCCAAACAACATTGTGTTTAGTTTTAAATTGAAAGATGATTATGATAATTTTTATATATGAACCCAGTATAAATCCACTTAATATGTTCCTGATAATTAAGATAAGTAAAAATAAAAACTGAACCTTTTAATATATACAGAATAGCCATCTGCTATCAGAAAAACTTTCAGAGTTTCTATCTAAGTTTTAACAGTTTTTAAACAATTTTAACTACGATTTGACGACATATGTGTCACCTCAAAAAGTTCAAGATACCAAAACAGTGGATTATGTACTGTATAAGTTGACCATCATATTAGTTCTAGATATTATAGTGTTATATATACATTATAGTTTGTATAGATAGGCTACTGCAGAAGGTGCACCGTCCGCCTATTGTCGCTTTAGCTTTCATAGATTATAAACATTGACCAATTAGTCTCACTTAATATGATTTCAAGGTATGTTTACACAAGAGTCCATCCATTCAATAGTACAACAATATTATCCATACAACAATTTCAGTTTAAAATGTGAATCGTAATTTAACAGCTGAATGTACATTCATAGTGTTTTCATTCAGATAATTTAAACATGAGACGTAGTATAAAAATAATGATAGGCCTGCATTAATTAAATGACAGTCTAGTGTAAGGTAAAAAAAGAAACTGCATGTTTAAAATAATGTTTAATTGATAGAACTGTTCTGGTGGTGTCCTATTTACCTGCAAATGCAAAATGAAAATAAATTACAATTTGTTATGTAAAAATCAGATAAACACTAAGTATAAAATAAGAAATTAAAAACTAAACCAACGTAACAAGAGACAAGTATGTTATAAAATGCGTTTAAAATTTAATCCTATATATTAATTAACAGTCTG